CGACCCTCAGATTGCGAGTCGAGTGCCTTAACCACCTGGCCATGCCGGGCGAAGTGTTAGTAGTAGCTCACCCTCTGGTGAACCCAATATAAACTAACCTGTCTCTATACACGCTTATGACATCCCAAATCAGGTGATCTTCTTCCCTTAGGCGGCATTCTTTAAACACAGATTAGGAGGAACACGACTGGTTATATACATATTACGGCACCTATGAAACAAAAATTTAATACTTATAAACCTTGTAAAAAAACTACTACCTATCCCATTTCTTAAGTTAACGACTCCAGTTATGTACGTTATGTACAAGCAAGGGAGTTAACAAACTGAATTAAACGTAAACACTGCAAACTGGAATTAGTTGATGACAATGTCAAGTTTCCTGGACTTTTTGTTTTTTTTGTTTGTTTTTTTTTGCCTTGTTTGTGTCAGCGGGTCAAATAAAGTATCATTTATACAAAATTTATCTTTAAACGATCTGAAATCAAATTTAGGAAGCTTTGAAATATTTTTCTTTTCAGTTCTAAAACTATATATGAGCTCAAACTCTAATTTTTTTTCTCTAACAAATCAATCATACAAAACACAACACACGTGACAAGAATTAACCATTCACAACTTATATATACGAAAACCTTGAAAATTGGTTTTAAGAAGGTATCAAAAGTGTGGTATATGACAAGTTTGGTAACTTAATACCTTGGGTTGTCGCAACTACCTGGCACAAGAACCAGTTAAATTTCTTGTCGATTGTGCATGTTAATTGACAGGCGAATACTCTCATTTACATTAAATAGGAACGTTTAGTCAACTTTATCTGTTAATTGACAGACTAATTTCTTCAGTTAGATTAAATAGGAAAATTTAGTGAACTTTATTTGTTAATTGACAGACTAATTTCCCGGGTTATATTAAATACGAAAGTTTAGTCAACTTTAAGTGTTAATTAATACGCGAATTTCCCCAGTTACGTTAAATAAGAACGTTTAGTGAACTTTATTTGTTAACTGACAGACTAATTTCTTCAGTTAGATTAAATAGGAAAATTTAGTGAACTTTATTTGTTAATTGACAGACTAATTTCCCGGGTTATATTAAATACGAAAGTTTAGTCAACTTCAAGTGTTAATTTATAGGCGAATTTCCTCAGTTACATTAAATAGGAACGTTTAGTCAATATTAAGTGTTAAATGACAGGTGAATTTCCTCAGTTACATTAAATAGGAACGTTTAGTCAATATTAAGTGTTAAATGACAGGTGAATTTCCTCAGTTACATTAAATAGGAACGTTTAGTCAATATTAAGTGTTAAATGGCAGGTGAATTTCCTCAGTTACATTAAATAGGAACGTTTAGTCAACATTAAGTGTTAAAAGGCAGGTGAATAGTTCCTCAGTTACATTAAAATAGGAACGTTTAGTCAACATTAAGTGTTAAATGGCAGG